AAGCAGAAGAGGCAGGCTGGTAAATTCAACAAAATAAAAGAAAATTTTCTAAGTAAAACACCACAATTAGTAAATGTGGTCATTTTTGTGTATCTAAACAGACCAGAGAGATTAAAATGAACAAACACACACACACACACACACACACACACACACACACACACACACACACACAAACATAGCGGAGAAACACGGTGTTTCCATAATTTTAAAAGCAGTTTTTACAGCAAAATATGGATAAACGTGAATACAAACAAACAAATATGTTTAACTAGATAAATTGCATTTCTTGCAGAAATGCAGTTTGAATGCTGGATATCTTAAACTGTTAGCTGAATCAGCTTAATAGCTGAACTGAACCTAAAAGTAATCAAAACTGTACAAATTAGCTGAACATTTTGAGAGATTTAGATGCAAAAAGCACCAAACAGTGAATAAAGCACTAAAAGTAAGTGAAGAACGGAGAAAAAATATCCTAAACAGCAGAAAACTGAAATCTGTGAACATTATTTAAAAACTCTGGACAGCTAAAATGTCTAAACACTTGTTATTTGAGTAGGACAAGTTTAACAGTTAAATTTTTACATTTAGCTGAACTGTGAAATTAGCAGCATATGCTGAATTCAGAAACTTATTGCTGAAGCTGCTGAATAGCACAAGTGAAGCTGAAACTAAACTAAACTGTCAAAATGAGCTGAATGTATTTAAAGATGTAGATGCAAAAATCCCCCAAAAGTGTAATAAAGCTCAGAATATAGGTGAAGAATGAAGAGAAAAATGCAAAACAGCAGAAAACTGAAATCTTTGAACGTTTAAAAACTAGACAGCTTAAATGTTTAAACAGCTGGCATTTGAGTAAGAATAGTTTAATAGTTAAATTTTCACAATTAGCGGAACTGTGAATTTAGAAACATTTGCCGATATCTGAAACTGACAGACTGTGTAATGGATGGATGAATGGTTGGATGGATAAAATGATGGATGGATTGTTGAATGGATGTTAGATGGTTTATTGGGTGAATGGATAGATGTATGGATGGATTCATTAGATTAAGCAGATCGATTTGATGTATCATATGTGTGGGTGTGTACTTCCATTTAGCCAGAAGATGATTGAACTCTCTCAGCCAATCAGGAAGGGTGTTGGGTGGTTTCCCGCCTTCTGTTGGTCAATAAAATGTAAGTTATGTTTCTAGTTGTACGTACAGGGAGGTGAGAAAGATCAGATATAGCAGTTTGTTACTAGCTCAATATTTTGCTTTTTTATTCATTGCTATGAGACTTTGTTAGAGTGATCCTTAGTTGCTTGTGTTGCCATGGTAACAGATGGCAGGAGTCTGCTTTAAAATAGTGATGTCCAATTTCACATGACTCTTGAATTTTGAAGAATGTTTCTATGTTAAAGTATGCTGATAGAGTGGTGTCTTAAAAATTAAAAATTATAAGTATAATTAAGCCGTAAAGAGTGTACAGAGATCTTCGCTTTACAATTATTGTGCTTCAGCCACACATGACTTGGGATGTGCCAAGCAGCAAAGGCACAGAAAAGTTTTTAGTTTTGCCCTACATGGAGAATGAGATGTATCGGTGTCTGTTTTGTGTACCCAGAGGTGTAGACCTTAGGTTTAATCAGGGGGAGTGTCATGGCTGGAGCCTTTTTGTGTTTTCTTTCATTTTTCCTGTACAGCTTTTTTCCCTCCTTGATGCTGCGTCTGAGGAGCATGCCTGCAGACTGGGTCTGTCTGCTCGTCGTTGCTCCTCCCTGCACCAGCTGCACCGTGTTTTCATCAGCCACTGATGGTTTAAAGGGCCTGCTTGAGCTCATCACAAACGGGGGGCAATAGTGCAGAGCTGCCTTTCCTCTGGTCTGTTGTCTCCCCTTAACTTAAGACTCGATATTGAATGGTGAACAGAGTTGCGGGTACTCTGTTACCTTTTTGGGATTTTGTACTCCCTTTAGAGTGTGTAGTATATTTTTGTTACGTTTTAATTAGGGATGTCCCAATCAGGTTTTTTTGCCCTCGAGTCCGAGTCATTTGATTTTGAGAATCTGCCGATACTGAGTCTCGACCCGATACTTTCGATACATTAAAAATATATATATAACGAAAAGGAAGAAAAAGTTCCAGAATGTTCCTTATTTTTTAATTTAATTACCTTTTTATTTTAATTTTTAACAACAAATCACTTCTGTGAGGTAGCTTGAACAATCAAGTAATAAATAACATAAATTCTTCACTTTTGGACTTTATTGCAAATATAAAAAGTCTAATATAAAAACAGACAGCACTTCAACTTAAAATACCTGGCAGGGGTCTATTTTGCCTCAGCCCCCAAAATGCTTAGATACGTCCCTGGACATGGAACGAAGTTTTAAAGATGATCTGAATTGTATCAACTATATAAATACTACATGCTGATAAATTATTGCTTTATACAGGTACAAACATGTAGTGGGCTGCAGCGCTCGTCACTGGCGCAGCCGGGCAGTGCGGCGCACACTCCGCTTTTTTAGCGGTCAATAGATCAATTTGATCTGCTAGTTAAAAAGTTACTTGTGAGGTGAAAAAGAAGGAAGCAGGCAGGAGTTTTTTCTGGAGGACTGGGAGATGCAGGAAGATCAGAAACAGACAGGACAGGAAGATAGGAAACTAAAAACCAAGAAAACAAAACAAAATTCTTGAAAAATAAAATGTAGGTAGATTTATCCCACTACACGTTTGTACCTGTATAAAGCAATAATTTATCAGCATGTAGTATTTATATAGTTGATACAATTCAGATCATCTTCAAAACTCGGTCCCATGCCCAGGGACGTATCTAAGCATTTTGGGGGCTGAGGCAAAATAGCCCCCTGCCAGGTATTTTAAGTTAAAGTGCTATCTGTTTTTATATTAGACTTTTTATATTTGCAATAAAGTCCAAAAGTGAAGAATTTATGTTATTTATTACTTGATTGTTCAAGCTACCTCACAGAAGTGACCTGTTATTAAAAATGAAAAAGGTAATTAAATAAAAAATAAGGAACATTCTGGAACTTTTTCTTCCCTTTCTTTCTTTATTTTTTTTTTATGTATCGAAAGTATTGGATCGGGACTCGGTGAGAGGAAGTGTGAAACATTTTGTTTCTGAATTATGAAAAAAAATAGCAAAAAAGTATGTATATTTTTTCAATGAGATGCTGATTTTAGTGAAAATTTTATTAAAAACAAACATAAATAGATCTAAAAAATATTACCGGTACTTTTACTGTCATTCTGTTCTGTGGACAACATAGAATGAAAATTCTGGAATGCTGCTGAAACCTGCATGTTTTTATTATTGTGGGCCTATCTGTTTATTAAAATGATCAGAGCCACTACAGAAGGCCCAAAGAGCCTGAGTTATGTTGTAGTAACGTGCGAGGAAGTGTGAAATAGTAAAGCTTTTTCTGTATGCTTGTTCATGTTGAATTGAGCGTGTCCACATGTCATGCTCAAATATAGACAGAACTTACCAGAGAGAAAATGAACGGACACGAATGACTGTGTGTTAATTATATATTTTTTGGTGACGCCACTTAGAAACGTAGAAAATGTTACTGTGGCCGTGTGCAGAACGCAGCTGGAGTTCATGAATAATCAGCGGTCTGCCCTCCGCTCTCTGCATCTCTGCTCTAAAGAATCCCCGCTAGTCCACATAATAAAGGTAGAAACTTGATCTCTTTTGTGCTGCTTCTGGGTGTGTAAAGGTTGGTTTATGCTTGACGCGTCCGCGAGGTCCGCACGGCTCCGCGCGGAAAAGTCATTTTAACAACCACGCCCCTCCATCGCGCCTCCGCATGGCTATGAAATTTCCGCAACGCGCACCTCGGAAAATTTCTAACCACGCGGACGGACGGACGCGGAAAAACATGGCGGACCGGCAAGAACCAGTACGGCAGAGGTTCGTAAATACAGACATTTGTATGATTCAGCTCTCAAAGATCACCGTGATCAACATGTTGTTAATAATTCTTGGAGAGGAATAGCTCGCACTGTCGGAAAAGACGAGAACGCTGTTAAAAATGCTGAAATGCCGTGTTGTAAACAGTAATTTCTACTTCTACTATGGTGTAGTGTTGGATGTTTGCCGTAGAGCTCCATGCTGCCCCGTTCAGCTTGGGAGAATATTGGCTCACCGCAGAGACGAGCCGCACGAACCATAAACACTGCGAGTTGTGAAGCGCCTTCCATCCGCGAGCCGCATCACCGCGCGGAAAGTGAATGCGTCAAGCATAAACCAAGCTTAAGTTAAAGGCATCAGGGGAGCCTGACAACCTTTAAGGAGAACCAAGTTACTCTCCTGTAATTTGAGCCCATTATCCAACTCCGGATCGGGGCTTGGATCGGGACGTAAAGCCCGAGTCCCGATCAGTCTGAAACCACGTGATCGGGCCGATTTCCGATCCTGTGATCGGATCGGGACATCCCTAGTTTTAAACTTTGTTTTTGGTAATTGTTGAGAAAAGCCTCTTTTTGTTCTATTCATAGCTTTTGAGCTACAAAAAAGGAAACAAAAATAAACCTTTGTTAAACTTATAATTTGTGTTACGCGTCCACCATGTTATCGCAGGCCCATAGACACCTGGGATGTAACACACACACACACACACACACACACACACACACACACACACACACACACACACACACACACACACACACACACACACACACACACACACACACAAATCCGGTAAACCATTTTGTACTTGAGTTAGAAATGAAGTTGTATTGCTTACAACTATAAGATTCAGGAAATGTAACAAAGTCAATAATCATTTTTTGGATCATAGGTTCTACAAATAAAACCCATATTTTACATTCACATGACTCTCGTTGTTTAATCGTATTTTAACTTTAGTATTGGTGTAAACACTTTAAGCTTCTGGTCTAATTCATTCCACACCTCAGCTCCAACATACATTTGTTCCTACATAACCTTGTGTTTTCTGACCTAACCCTACTTTCTCATTGCAGGTGTGCTGCAGGTCAGTGGGATCCGCATCTACACATCTGGCAATGTTGAGGCAGTCAATGGAACAGATGTTCGTCTGAAGTGCACATTTCAGAGTTCAGCTCAGATAAACCCCAGTCTGGTTGTTGTCTCCTGGACCTTTAGACCTCTCGCAGGAGGCCAAGAGATTTCGGTGAGTTTGTGTGTGTGTGTGTGTGTGTGTGTGTGTGTGTGTGTGTGTCAGAGAGAGAAAAAGTGTGCCTCACTGTGTCAGGAAGCACCCACCCCCTCAGCCAGCTCAGAGAGATGATAGTGAGTCATAAAGCTCCCAGTGGAATCTTTGTTTCTGTGTCTTTTTTTCAGCATATGGAGAATAGATGGAATAGGGAACAGCAGGTGTGGTTTGTCTGATATAACAGCAGATGTTCCCTAAAATAAAATATTTTCCGACCCGGCATCTGCACTGCAAGTTTGACAAATTTTATCAATCTGCTTACAATTGACCAATCACCACCAAACTCCTCCTGTAGCTGTTCCACTACCAGCAGCAACCCTATCCACCTCTTGAGGGAATCTTCAGGAAGAAAATTCTCTGGGCCGGGGATCTCATGGGCGGTGATGCCTCCATTATAATTCGAGAGGTCAAGTTAACCTACAATGGAACCTACATCTGTCAGGTGAAGAATCCGCCAGATGTCCATGGCCCTGTTGGAGAGATTCAGCTCCGTGTTGTTCTGACAGGTAAAGTCTGTTCTACCATACATTAGCACATGTATTATAACTAGACAGAGCAAAGGAAACATTCATTTGAAAGCAAAATAAAACAAGGACCTTTGGCTGGTTTTATGTTTGAGGTTACCACAGCTCAGCAGAATATTATTGTAGCTTCTTCTGGGGACAAAATCACTTAGAGAAAAACTAAAGTTAACAGCTGAAATAGCATGAAATAATACAGTCTTGATTTAAAAGCAGAACATTTAAAGCCATCCAATTTTTTATGTCTTCAAGACAAGCCTGTAATCTACCTAGCCGAGGTTAGGTTAATCAGAGTTAATGGATAAATGTAACAGAGTATCGTCAGCATCACAGTGGACGTTTATACCATGCTGTCTAATGATTGTACCAATTGGGATCATATATATAGTAAAAAGACTTGGTCCAAGCACTGAACCCTGTGGTACTCCACAAGTAACCCTGGAGTATGGAGAAGATTTGTAATGTACATTTACAAAATGAAATCTGTCAGACAGGTAGGATCTAAACCAGCCTAGCGCTGTTCCTTCGATCCCTACAACATGTTCAAGCCTTCCTAAAAGAACATTGTGATCAACTGTGTCAAAGGTAGCACTGAGATCTAACAAGACTAGAACAGACACAAGATTCTTATCTGAGGCCACGAGAATATCGTTTGTAACATTAGTAATTTACATTTAATTAAGGACTGTAAGACATAAAAATTTCATATCTAGTATGAAATCCATCTTGCGGACACTGGGTTATTTAAATCAGAAGATTGTAACTTTTTAATGCAGGGATTTAGATAACACTTTGTATTAACTGAGAGACAAGAGAAGAGAGAGACCTTCAACCCTTTAAGATGATTTATTACTAAATAATTCTAAACAATTTAAACAAGACTAACTCTGCTAATGATGGATGTTCTGTTTGAATGAGGTGTGAGATGTTTGGTGTGTGTGAATGAGTGTCATTCAGAACCCTCGTATCCGGAGAGACAAGTCTGAGTGGGAGATGATGTTTTGCTCCTAACTGATCAGAGTAGTTTCATAACCACATGAGACGCCATATTGTCGCATCCACATACCCTCAGAATTGAGACCTCCGTACAGATCCGGATGCCAGGTCCAAGACCCTCCTCTGGTACTGGAGCCGATGAAACAGCGTCGACAGTACGACAAACCAGTCTTTGGATAGTCTCCAGGTAAAAAGCGACAGGTGGTTCACAGCGTCAAAAGGGGACCCTCCTTGGGCCAGCGAGTTCAGCTTTTATTCTGAAAGGTAACATTGCTTGGTTCACAAAACAACAGAATTTTCCCAGCTTGATGGTTCTCAGCTTGAAAAGAGAAGTACAGAATGGCCGGTCCAATACTTCACTTAGCATGCGGTGAACTTCATGGAATCTTGAGAACTGAACTTAAGATGTGCCGGGACTGTTCTGCCAATCTGGATGCTTTGAATTCTGGTTGAATCAAAGCTGGCAGATTTATAAACACCACAGAGACTATGCCACGCTTCAGACTAGGAAGGTTCTGATTGGATCAGCAACAGCAATGTGTCATGCGGCTGTTTACCTTACGTGTGTCTAGTGAACTAGATTAAGTCATATTACTTATTGAAACATATTAATCTTATCATTGTGATTTCACAGATCGGTCACATTGTATTATTGACTAACAGTTGTTTTGATTAGCTTTATTAAAAATAGAGTTCTTTGATTGAATAAAATAAAAGAGTCTCTTCATCTTCTGTCTTCATTGGTGGAAAGTAAACAGTTTAGAAGCAAATGCATGACCTTGAGGCTGTTTCATGCACTCTGGCGCTGTGTCAAAGGCAACTGTGAATAGAGGATAAATAACCTTGGAGGAATAGCTCCTTCATCACGTTACACATTTTTAACTTTCACTAATGCAGTTTCCGTGCTGTGATACTCTCTAAAACCAGACTGAACTTCCTCGAACAGATCATTGGTGTTAAAATGCTCCCATACTTAGTTGGCCACTATTTTCTCAAGGACTTTGGATAAAAATGGAAGGTTAGATATTGGTCTATAATTCATTGGGTCATCTGAATCCAGAGAAGGTTTCTTAAGTAAAGTTTTGATTACAGCAACCTTAAAATCCTGTGGTACATATCCATTTACTAAGGATAGATTGATTATATCTAGAATGGGGGCAATAACCAAAGAAAATCCATCTTTAAATAATTTGGTTGTGATTGGATCTAAAATGCAAGTGGAAGGTTTAGAAAAAGCTAATATTTTTGATAACTCTGAAAGCTCAACTGGATCAAAATGGTTCAAACACAGATGAGGTTCTACAGTCACCTCTGATGCTGCCTCACTTACTGAGGAAGAAGAAATCGCATTAGGGAGGATGCTAAAGATTTTGTTTCTAATAGAATTAATTTTACTTATGACAAATCCCATAAAGTCGTTGCTGCTGAGGGCTAAGGGAATAGATTGTTCAGAGCTATGATTCTGTGTAAGTTTGGCAACTGTACTGAAAAGAAATTTTGGATTATTCCTTTTTCCCTTATTCTCCTCAATTAGCAATGAAAAATAAGCAGTTCTAGCTTGTCGAAGCTTATTTTTATAAATCACAAGACTATTTTTCCAGGATAAGTAGGACTCCTGCTGGTGCGTAGAGCGCCATGTTCTCTCCAATTTTCTTGAGTTTTGTTGTAAAGTTCGTAAATGAGAAATAAACCAGGGAGCCAACTTCCTATGCCTAATTACCTTCTTTTTTAAAGGGGCAACATCATCTAATGCCACACGTAAAGAATAAGTAACATCATGAATTAGATCATTAATTTGTGAAGTGCTAGAAATGAAAACATTGCCCTCTACTACGTTCCTCTGAGATGCTGAGGACAGTAAAGGTGGAACATTTGATTTAAAAGATGCAACAGCATTGTCAGATAGAGACTGACTATAGTAAAATTTACTTTCATGCCTCGAGAACTCAGTTATAAAAAACTCAAAGGTTATCAAAAAGTGGTCAGAGAGGACTGGATTATGTGGAAATATCGTTATTTCCTCACACTCTATGCCATAAGTCAGCACAAGATCTAATGTATGATGGCAGGAGTGGGTGGAGCTATGTATTCTTTGGGTAAAACCAATTGAGTCTAAGATATTACTAAAGGCTACACAGAGGCTATCATTTTCAATGTCCACATGAATGTCAAAATCCCCCACTATAATGACCTTATCACTATTTAGCACCAAATCAGATAAAAAATCAGAGCTGATCCAAAATCTCAGAGTAAGGGCCTGGCGGACGACACAAAACTACAAACAAGAGGGGGTGTTGTCGCGCGGTTATGCGCTCCATCCCGCAGCACTCCTCCGTGAGAGCGGGGGTGGGGGGTTTGAACATGTTCCGCTGCTGTTTCTCACCAGTATTAGCTGATGGCGGGCTCTAGTTTCGTTGTGCCATTTGTGTCAGCGGACACGGTAGGGTCAGGGAGGGGGTGGGGCATGAAGCTTAGCCTGCTGGGTGGCCAAGGAAAGTCTGGCGGGCCTCCAGGCTTATAAAGCGCTGGGGAAACCTGCTTTTAAGCCTGATTTTTCATCTGTGTGATTTTAGCAGTGGGCAGGACACTGTCTCAATGGGGTAGTGGGTGGGTAACAGTACTGAAGCTGCAGAGGGGTGTGTTAAACTACAACTCTGCTTCCTGGTCTGGACCCTGGGTGTTCATGGAGTACTAATGAAATTGGCCATGTTCCTAGAAAGAAGAACAGCTCCATCCAAAGAGGGATGGATGCCATCTCTTCGCATCAGACCAGGTTTCCACAAAAAGTTTTCTAATTATCAATGTAGCCCACGTTGTCAGTGGGAAAATTTACCATGTAAACATTAGAGCCGTCAGACTAACAGCTTGTGGGAGACAAAGGCAAAACAACTATATACATTTTTGATACATAATTTTATGAACATTATAACTAAAAATAAAGGATACACAAAAATAGGGAAGGTCAGGAAGCCGGGACAACATGAGATCCATCTAACTAAAGTTATTATTGACCACCTCAGTGACCTCAACACCAGAGATTGGAGAGCCCAACCAAAAGTCCCAGAACCCTGTTCCTCACTAGAAGACGAAATACTCTGCCCACCGATCCATGCTCCGAGTCAAGGTCACTAGCACACCATCCCCCCATAAACAATGTTGGTAGCGCACTGCTTTCCCCTCCTGAGGCACCGGATGGTGGACCAGAATCTACAGTACGTAAGTCTTGCTCCATGGTTTCACTGAACTCCTCCCATGCCTGGGTTTTTGCCTTTGTGACCACTCGGGCCACTATCTGATTGGCCTGCCAGTACCTATCAGCTGCCCCACAGGCTAAAAAGACCCGATAGGACTCTTTCCTTAGCTTGACAGCACCCCAACCCTTGGTGACCACCAGTGGGTTTGTGGATTGCCACCACGACAGGCTCTGACGACCCTGTGGCCGCAGCTCCGGTTGGCCATCACGACCATGGAAGTATGGAACAGGGCCCACTCGGACTCAATGTCTCCTGCCTCATCCAGTACATTTTGGATGTTCTGTCGGAGGTGGAAATGGAATTTCCTTCTGACAGGAGACTCCGCCAAATTTTCCCAGCAGACCCTCACAATATGTTTGGGTCTGCCAGGTCTGACTGGCATCCTCCCCCACCATCAAAGCCAACTCAGTTGATAGCTCCGCCCCTCTCTTCACCCGAAGCACTTTACTTCCTCGGCTCTTCCATCAGGGAGTCTATTCCTATTCTGAACAAATTTTCCCTGGATACACACATGACAACTTAAACCCTCTGTATTTCCTTTGATCTTCATACCTTCAACCACATTTTCCAAGTTTTGAATGTTGTTATAGTTACAATGCCCCAAAATCTCATGCCATGTTTGCATGTCTAAACACTTTGTACACTTATCATCACACTCATTTACAGTTTCCAAGTAGTAAATCAGGCAATCAATCAATCACGGATTGGATACTTCCAATCACGAATTGGATACTTACCTGGCAGGGGAAATACCTTGATCAAGAAGGTGGTTCACCCAGGGTGAGGCTCAGCCATTGCATTCCGTGTTGTGCTGACCCCTGCGAATTCCCCAAATGTGGGAATCTCAACTGCATAATTTGTGGTAGTGGGGGACTGCGTTCGCGCTCTCCCCTGATTTTAAAATCAAGCCTATGCTGTCGAGAGCCCACCTGGAGCGGGTACTCCATGCTTTTGTAATTTCTAGGCTTGATTACTGCAACTCTCTATATGCAGGGTCATGTCAGTCATCACTGCGACACCTACAGGTTGTGCAGAACAGTGCAGCCAGGTTCCTGACTGGGACCAGGAAACGGTACCACATCAGTCCGGTTCTGGCCTCCCTGCACTGGCTCCCAGTTTGTTATCGTTCACACTTTAAACTCCTCGTCTTGTTTACAATTTCTTCCAGGGTGGTGCTCCTCCCTATCTGGCCACACTCCTGAACAGACATTCCCCATCACACGCTCTGCGCTCCTCTGACCAAGGCCTGCTCGCTGTCCCTCATTCTAGGTGTCGTACTCGTGGGGACCGGGCTTTCTCAGTCCTAGCCCCGTCACTCCGGAACCAGTTGCCACCCTCAGTCAGGGTATCCCCATCTCTGCCAGTCTTTCAGTCGCCTAAAAACCCACCTCCTCCGCTTGGCATTCCCTGAACATGTTTGATTTTGGCCCTCTTTTATGTTGATTTTATTTCCCTATTTTCATTGGTCTCGTTATCCCTTGTTTTACCCACTTGTCTTCTACTAGAATGTTTTACCTTTTTTTGCACTATTTGAATTGCTTTTATTATCGATTTATTCATCAAGTTTCACATTTCTCATGTACCATGTTCAGCGCCTTGGGCTTCCCGACAGGGTTCCCGAAGGCGCTTTATAAATAAAGCTTTGATTGATTGATTGATTGATACAGTGACTGCACCACTGTGTTTGCTTTAAAACAAGTTACTTCTGCCGCTGCGCCTCTCCTGCGGGCCTCCCGCTGGGCGTTGCTCTCACTCTCACAATGTTGTCTTGTTCCGTCATGCGCATCTCCTCATAACTTCGAAGCTTCGTCTTAAAATCAGCTAATTTGATTTCTGTTTCACTTTGCATTAAGTGAACAGAAAATGGCTTGAAGATCTCTGGTAATCCTTTTAGGACCATGGCAACAAGCATCCCATCACTCAGCATCTCTCAAGGCCGTAATTATACTCTTTGTCCGTATGATGGAATCTGTCACACTCTCGTCGCTCGCCTTCTGCAGAGAGGTCAGCTCTGTGTAAAGCTGATAATTCTGGGTTTACCTTTACCAGCATAATAGTCTCTTAAAATTTTCTGTGCCGCTCATCCATCATCCGCAGCCTCTCTCATAACAGACAAACTTTTGTCATAGAGGAATTAAATCAACTCAGCATAAGCCTCGGCATTCTTGTTATTGTCTTCTGAGTCAACATCATCAGTGCTCAATATTGTGTCTTTCAGACCTTGTAGTCGTAGGTGACCCAGGAATTTTGTCTCCCACAATTCATAATTTCTCTCTTCCCCGTCAAACAGCAGCCTGGCCCAACGGCTACCGAGTTCTGCAGCCCGTCTACTCATGATGTCGGTTCTGGATGCTGGTTCACACCAACTTATTCACTTTATGCAAGTGAATCTTTCATAGGCCCATAACCTGTTAGCAGAGCTCAACATTCCCAGTTTTCATCATCAGGTTTGACCGAGAAAACAAATCATACGGACACATCAGCGTTCATTCACGGGGTGGGGGGTGTTATTATTCCATTGACGTCTTTTATGCAGTGCTGAAAGCAATCTCATTGGTTGTAACATCAGGTAAATCAAATAATACATAGAGCAAGAAACTTTGACAAATGACAAAAACATAAACATAAACACATAAGCTTATTTGGAGTGCAAATAAACAACTCAACAGTCCCAAGACATGCGGCTGCAGATCAGATGAAACAACAAAGTCGATCATCGAGCTGCGGCCTAAGGTATCCTGGTGCCAAGAGCACATATGGACATCTTTATGTCTGAACATGGTGCTCATTATGGACAATCCAGACAAGCACAGAAGTCCAATAAGAAAACACTGCATGGATTCAGATCTTGGGGCCGTTCCTCCCAACCACACCTCTCCAGGTCTCACTGTCGTTGCCCTCGTGAGAGTTAAAGTCCCCCTGCAGAACGAGGGAGTAACCAGAAGGAGTGCTTTCCAGCATGTCCTCCAAGGACTCCAAAAAGGGCGGTAAGTCTGAACTGTAGTTTGGTGCATAAGCACAGGCAGTCAGCACCCGTCCCCCCATACGTAGGCGGAGGGAGGCTACCCTCTCGTTCACCGGGGTAAACCCTAACGTACAGGCACCAAGATGGGGGGCAACTTGTATGCCCACCCCTGCTCGGCGCTTCTCACGTGGGGCAACTCCAAAGTGGTAGCGTGTCCTGCCCCTCTCAAGGAAACTGGTGCCAGAGCCATGTGTCGAGGGGAATCCGATTAGATCTAGTCGGAACCTCTCAACCTCGCCCACCAACTTGGGCTCCTTCCCCACCAGAGAGGTGACATTCCACTTACCAAGAGCCAGGTTCTGTAGCCGAGGATCAGACCTTTTGGCCACCACCCATCACACATTGCACCTGACCTCATTGGCCCCTCCCACAAGTGGTGAGCCCATGGGAAGGGGGACCCACATTTCCATTTTTGGGCTGTGCCCAGCCGGGCTCCATGGGTGGAAGCCTGACCCTCGGGTGTTTGTAATGCTAACATAAATGTTTTTGATATGAGAAATATAAGAAAAGTATTATTTTCTTTGACCTTTCTGGAGATAATCTCTAAAACCATAGCGGGGCCCTGGGTTGAGGTCTCATGGTTTTTCTTCCTCCCTGTGTGTTTCTGTCTCCTACAGCCTCTTTCTCTGATCTCCTCATCCTGGCCGTGGCCATTGGGAGCACCATCGGTTGCATAGTTCTCCTCCTTGTTATCAGTTTGTGCTGCAGAAGGTGCAGAAAGAGACAGAGACTGGAAGGCAACGAAGAATCTCCCTGCAAAGAAAGAAAAGACCCAGCAGCATGGTAAAACAACAAAAGGAGAGGCAGGGGAAGGAAGAGCAGCAAAATGATTCAGTTTCTGTCTTCTTATGTGTGAGGCTCTGGGGATGTGGGCTATTGGCGCTCCTGCACTTTCACCCTCCCTCTCCATCCGCTGCCTTTAGACTCCTGACTTGGACCACTATCCAGCACCAGGAGTGAAGGTAGAAGGTGCCTTCTGTAGAACACCATAAGCACTGAGTTCTAGCCAGACCGCTGGAGCTCCACTCTGTTTATCTGCCCATCTCTTCCTGTTCTGCTAAACAGCCCTCCAGACACATTTCCTGTTTAGAGGAAATGCTGGAGAACAATGGTGGCTTCCTGCTGGATCCCAGTCCCAGTACACCACTGCTGTACTGGTTTGGTGTTTTATGCATAAGTTGAAACAATGACTGAGCACTATTCTGTCATCTGTTCAGGTTTTCTGAGTGACTCCATGAGGAGGGTGGGGCGAACTCGGTGGTAGTGTGGGGGGTGTCTCCATTCCTGAAGTCATCTCACTGCCTTAACTGCTTCTTAGATGTTTTTCTGCTTTTTTTTGTGTTTGCTGTAAAATAAAATAACAGGACTGATGAACTGATGCACTTGTTTAAAACAGACATTTATTCTGTAAATCTTTGTGAAAAAATGTCACTTTACTAACAAAACCAAGCTATGTTTCACTTTTTTTTAGTAATAAAGACAAGAATAGAAGAGAAAAGCCATTCTTTGTCCCTCATTATGGAAATTTCACAGTGAAATAAAACAGTATTTTTTTAACTGTAATTTCTCTGTGTGGAACAACGGCTGTTTTAGTAAAGGCTTGTTTCCTGGGTTTCTAGGTCTTGTGAAAAAGGTGCAGATATAAAAGCTCATCTCCACTAATTGCCGTTCAAACTAAATGCACCATTTTTATTTTGTCCCTGCTCATGTCTTTGTGTCTTCATGTCTGTGTGGAAAATTGTGGACAGGTACACCCTTGTGTTGTTGTCCCGTCCTCGTCTGTGTTCCACCTGTACCTATTAGACACATCCATAGAGGTTGACACCTCAGACAGAATGATCTCAGACCCCAGCACCAAAGACTCCAGGTTCTCAGAAGACAAAGGCCCCAGCTGGGACGACGATGATGGCAGTGATGACTCAGATTGATGACTGAAACGCTGATGATGCCTCCTGAGACTTGGATGACATGGATCTGTCCAGGGTGGAGGCAGCTGCTGCTATAATGTAAACAAGCACATGGTTTAAGAATGAGAGGAAAAACTAGAACTGTCATGATCTGTGTCTGCATCTCACCCATCGACATTAATATATGGACAATGGGTTTCCATAGACTCCAATAACAAGTTTTTGTGCTAAAATGGGAGGTGGCCACCACCGCAATTTTGACTGTGTCACAGCCCAGACAATTCCATAAAAGGGAAGAGAGGAGGAGCTGAGGGTGGGGCTGTAAGGCTGGGATCAACTGACGACACCCGGTCGAACTAGCTACAAGCTAACCTGAAGCTAACCCAAAGCTAATGCGGAGGTGGGAGCTAAGCTAACGGAGGTAGCAACCTAGCTACAACCGGAGTTAACTGTGCACAACACCAGAGCTTCTGAGTCAGAGATACGCCGGGCTGACCGCTGGGTAAAACCGGGTGGAACACAGAGGTCTCCCGAGAGCTCCACAAGCCGACAGCCGCACAGCAGACAAGCGCCGCTGCGCAGAGCTGCCGCTGGGGAGAACCAGGTGGAAAGGTTTCCATCCCAGAGCTCCACGAGCCGTCTGCCCGCCGCAGCACACAGAAGCCACGATCAGACAGATGCGCCGAGCTGCGGGGAGAAGTGGCGTATTTTGGCGGTTCTGGCTTGCCATAAGAACCAGCCGTCAGCCCGCCGCAGCACACAGAAGCCGCAATCAGACAGCGATGCGCCGAGCTGCTGGGAGAACCAGCCGTCAGCCCGCGCAGCTAACAGAAGTCGCAATCAGACAGAGATGGATCGGGCTGCGGGGAGAAACAGCAGGCATTCCAGGTGGAAAACATCGGTCTCCCGAGAGCTCCACAAGCCGATAGTCGGAACCCAGCTCCACCAACATGTTATATTTCAACCCATTTTCTAAAGTGCAGCATTATGTTAAATGCACTGGGTTTTACCCTATTACATTTAAATTTCATGGTTAAACAGTACATGTTAAAATCTAAGCTCAGCTTAGCAGTGACCTAAAATACATAAATATAATTTTACTTACAAAAAAAAATGAAGTGGAGACTCCTTGGACGCTCTAATAGTGCAATTAATGCCACAGCAAGTCATTTTGTCCAACAATTGCACAAAAAATATCCAAACAAGAATACACACACACAGAGACTCAAAATCCCGGAACAGTTTCCAAGCCAGACCGAGGCTCTACTGAGGCCTTTCCACGGAGCTAGCTCTGCGGTCACGTGGGTCTGAGGTGGCGGTCACGTGGGTCGGATGCTCAATTCAATTCATTTCAATAATTTATTTCACTCAAAGTTTAAATATACAAACTTCAAATTAGAATATAAGCATTCAAGTGAAATAGGGGGAGGAAGAAGAAAAAAATCTTATATGACCTACCCCCTTTAACTAAGACAAGATAAATAACAAAGTACAAAATAGCCTTGTACACACAAAATAAACCGCTCTCTTCCACAAATAATATCACTACTAAAAAATTAATCCTCCATCCTCAACTCACCAAATCATACGATTTTAGCATTTTATCTTTATACATTTTTTTGAATTGATCAGTAGTTGTACATTTTTTTAATTCATCATCCAGGTTATTCCATAATTTCACACCATATATTGAAATACACGTTTGCTTTAATGTAGTACGAACAAATATCCCTTTAAACTCTGGTTTCTTTCTACTCTTATCATTTTTTGGGCTCAAAACAAAGAACCTTTGTAGATTAGTTGGCAGTAAATTATTTCTAGCCTTAAACATAATTAGTAAAATTTTCAAGTTAACTAAGTCTTTGAATTTCATAATTTTAGATAGAACAAAATAGTTGTTAGTATGTTCTCTCGGATTAGCTTTATGTAGAATTTGCAAAACTTTCTTCTGTAACAGAAACAAAGGATTAGTGTTTGTTTTATACGTATTGCCCCAAACCTCAATACAATAAGATAAATGAATAATATAATGTCTGAAGCGTTGAAATTTCTAGAAAACCTTTGACTTTGTTTAAAATTCCAATACTTTTGGATATTTTTTGTTTTATATATTTTATATGGGATTTCCAAGTAAATTTATGGTCCAAGAGAACCCCTAAGAATCTGACTTCATTTACTCTATCAATTAAAAAACCATCAATAGACAAAGTAACTAAATCATTAGTTTTTCTGTTACCAAAAACCATGAATTTTGTTATATTCCAATTGAGAAATAATTTATTGTCATTAAACCACTTCTTAAGTTTAGACATTTCACAAACCATATTTTGAATAATAATTTCTAAATCATGCTTTCGTTCTTTTTTAAACACAGAAACAGTTTTGTTTACCTGTTTGTAGCTACGGTTTCGCCGACAGCTGCCGGCTTCTTCAGGCTGACGCTGATGGTGGCGTCACTTCCTTCTCCGTTTATCTGCGGGCAGCAGAGGACGTTGTCGCCCTCTACTGCCCGCTCTCCCCTCTCCGATGATGCATTCCCATGCGTGGTCCAGCGTGTAAACTCCGTCGTCCCTGTTCATGGTCCCACATCCACGTCTCCTTATCTCGATTGCTTCCTTGATCCATCTTTTGTATTTTTGTTGTTCAGTGGTTATGATCCATGTGCTGTCCCAGTCCATTATATGGTTTTCTCTTAAAGGAGACATAACATGCTTTTAAGTTATTCCTTTTTACATCTAAATCCTTCAGTTGGGGGTCTAAAAACAGTGGAACTGCAGTTCTTTGGTCTGATTTCCTCATTATTGTTGCTCTACAGACCCTCATCTACCCCTGTTCTGAGGAGAGTCTTGAGAACGAGCCGTTTTGGGGTACTGTCTCTTTAAACTGGAGGAGGAGCTGTAAACTCCGCCCCCCTCCATAGTGCAGTCCTGTACTCTCCTCCCCCAGTCGGACTTTGTAGTTCTATAGAGAAATCATTATTTAGCATAGCAGATTTAGCATAGCATATTAGCATTTTTAAAACACGTGGGGAGAGTAGTTCATCAAGCTATTTCATGGCTGCTAACTCTCTCATGCATTTGTCTGTAGTCACTCACACACACCCGTCACGGCCGACGGAGGGACAAGCAGCAGGCACACGCACGCGCGCGCGCGCACACACACACACACACACAAGGAATGCTGCTTGCTTATTTCTGTAAAAAATGTTTAAAAAAATGATACAGCTCATTAAAACACCATTCAAAGAATATATTTTATTAAGATCTCTATCTATATACATACATATAATTATAAATAATTTTATAAGTAGTCTTATTTTATATTGGGTGTCTTAATGGCTGAAAATGGATAAAAAGCAGTTACATTTTAATTTAAAGAGTTGAGATTCTAGTCAAAAATAAAGAACATTCCTCCAAGTGTTCTTTAATGTCATCATTATAATTCTAATGCTTACAACTTTGTTTTTATTGTCTGCAATGCGTAGCCTATATCTTTATTAAATGTGTTTAGCTGTAAAGTGGTAATTCTCTCTAATGTGTACAGAGAGGTGGACATCAGTGCTGCAGTGAAATTCCCAAGATCAGTCTGCTTTGCTAACAAATATAGTTAAATCTTACCTGCATTCTAAATAAATACCGTTAGGTGAAAACATCAGTAGGCATTGAGTTATTGATACAATCCCTAACAGCCAGAATGGAAGAAGAGCATGCTGGGTCATCCTGGATCTGAGCCTGTTCTGTGTATTTACCTACAGGATACAATAAATGTCTACAAGGCTGAGTTTGGACCATTACATCTAAAAGAAAGCATACAATCAGTGATTTTTTTTATTGTTTACATTAATATACAAATTTTCTAAGTATTAACCTCACAGCAAATAAGTAGAACAATATAATAAACAGGCTTTAGTAGTTAAAACAGGCGTTGTGCACACAGGTGCTTTGTGTCTCGGTGCTGGTGGTGTCTAGGTCTCAGAGTTCCTGTCCTCCTGCCGTCTTCTGTTGTCCTCAGGATACGGATTGATGTTTCCTGATGATGAGGGAGGGGCTGTATGTGGGCTTCAAACTGGTCCTGGACAACAGTGGGAGACCTCCGTTGTCTGAATACTGAGACCAGAGGGTTGGTGAGATGCAGATCTTCTCTACCTCATCTAGAAACGGAGTTGGTTCAGGGAAAACTTTTCCAAAGACCAGTTCCATGATGTCATCGCCATATTCTGGAATGATAGACAATAACTTTAATGACATATTTTGTTTACAAGCAGCTTTAGGAAAGTTGTTTCTTTAGCTTTCATGTTTATAGTCACGTTTGTGTTTGTTCACAAGTTCACTTTGCTGCAGTGACTTCATATTTTCCTACAAATGTAATAAAATAGTGACACTAAAATTATACAAATGATTCCTTATGAAAGGAAGCTCATTAGAGAGCAGTGCAGACAGACTTACTACATGCTGCAGCTGTTTTTGTAGGCCAGCTGCTGCTGAATTTGGGGAAAGTTATTCTGCACACATCCAGATCAGATGGTCGATTACAGAAAATAATGTAATTCAATAATTTCTAAACAGACTAAACAAGTAAAACATCAAATAAATCACTCTGCTGTCATCAGACGGAGTGATTCAGGGGGTGAGGTGTTCTTAATGATGAGGGTGGCTGAGGTGTGTCATCACTCACTTTGGTCTGGTCCAGACCGTCTCTTTACTGGTGGGTCTCCTTCCTCAGTAGGTGACGTGAAACGCCAACATCTGAACGTTCTGTGTTCCTTAGAGGAGAAGAAAAGTAACATTAGCAAGCTGGCTAAATTATTTTTTACTAGCATCTCAAGGACTTGGAGAAGCAGATCTTCACTTACCTAAACATCAGACCAGTTTGTCCTAGCTGAGCTCATCAGGGCGTTAGTCTGACAGCCTGTCAGTGAAACACGGCTCCAGTCTTCTGGATGTGGACTCTAAAAAGCAAAGGAACATTTTTACTTTGTTTTAATTATTTTACAGCCAATTTTATCAGCTTTCCGACGCTCACGCTCATACAGACGGTGAGCTTTGCTGCGTCTGACTGATGCAGAGTTAGTTTTTATATCTGCAGTGAGACAAAAAACTAACCTCACTTCACTTAGAGATCGTTCTTTAAAACTCTATTAAATCCACTGTGTTGACGCACTTTAATGACTTTGTCACGCTGCATTTTAGCTGATATGGGACTTTATTTACTGGATGCTAAGATTACATCACACTCATGTAGAATAACACACAGGCTCTCTGCTGTTACAATCAGTGGGAGGTTATCATCTGGTGTAAAAGAAGGCGTTGATCAGAAATCACGTTTTATTCCACGAAAATCAGCCAAATCCACATTAATCTGGGTGCTAACTTTACTAGCATACTGTGCTAGCGATAGCAAGCCGGATGCTAACGCTTTAGTGCTGCTAATGCCCGTAAATCTAAAGTAAAGTTTGTCGACATTTTAGAGTGATATGAAGCTTACCGCTCTGCTGCTGTGTCCCGGTGCTGCCAAATTCAGATGGAAATAACTCCTTTTAGATAGATGAAGCCCTCAGTACTTAGCCACTAGCCTGGAGACAGAACGAACGAACCACGCGCGCGCGCGCACGCACACACACACACATAAACAAACAAACGCAAACACACTACTTTTTCTTCTGTTTTTTTTTAGCAGTAGTGTCATCAGCTCCTGGGTTTAAATACTGCCACACCACCCTTCCTTAAAACGAGGAACAGTTTTGAGCTGTGTGTGGCTAAAATAACCAGACATTCTGCATTTTTCCAATAGGACTACAAAAAATCTTAGCGAGAAGAAAAAATGGCGGATTGGCTCTGTGTTTAGCCGAGGGCCATTACCATATTTGGTAGTTATCCTCACTAAATTAATTACTGATGTAATAGATAATGTAAAAACTGAACGGGTGGACAAATATGCCCAAAACTTAATTATTAAATATCTAAATAGCAACTCCAGTGAATAATATAAGCCTTTTTGCTCACTTAGACACTTAAAATGTGAAACACACCGTGTTAATGGATAAAAAAGTGGGTTTTTCATGTTATGTCTCCTTTAAGCAATGATCTGTTACGGCTGACTTTTTTATTGTACTTTCTGCTTCTTCTTTTGCTGCTCTTGTGTGTTTACGATTTGCCTCTTTCTCGCACTCCTTTCTGTGTTCTATTGTCCGTGTATTGAGTTGGCGTCCGGTTTCTCCTATGTGTGTTTTATTGCATATTTTGCATGGGATTTCGTAGATGACTCCACATTTTTGTCCAGCTGATATTTTGTCTTTTGGGTGTACTAATCAGTTTCTAACTGTGAAATTACAATAGAAGACAACGACATACTCATCTCACATGACGTCACATCTCTGTTCACAAAAACTCTCAATATTCAAATCATCAATCACGTCCAGTTTTTCACGGGCCAGTTTGTTCACAAACTCAATGATGTTATTTTCTTCACAACCCTCAGGTACAGAGTAGATTCTTATTTTTTTTTTGCGAGCTTGGCTCTCGGGTGCCTCACATTTCATTTCTAGTTGTTTTTGCATCTGAACCACTTGTATTAACACATTGGAGGTTTTCATTGCATAGTCTTCACTCTCAACAATTCTCTGTTCAGCTTCCTCCATTCTTTTTTTGATGCTCGTGAACTCTGCTCGTAGCTCATTCAATTCTGTTTTTAATGCTCCAAAGCTGGCTGATGTTTCAGTTCGAAATTCTCTCAGTTCTTTGAGTATTTCAGCCATACCTGAAGATTTTGTTGGTGTCATGTTCTCAGCTGATTCCAGTTGATTGTTCTCCATTTGTTTGTGAGCACCTTCTTCCATTTGTTTGGAGGATTGCTTTTGCCTTGGTTTTGGCATATTCCACAGCTCCAGTCATAAATTTATCAACTTGCAGTTAAAGATCTTGGTTTCAGAGGATTTCCACACAAATTTTCACCATTCCAAGCACTTTTAAAAAGAATCTTCTTAAATTGTTTGGAGAGCCTCTCACAGGCACACCTGTCCAGCGGCCATCTTGTTTTTTTTCAATAGAGAGATGGATGCTCATTAATTATACAGAATTTTAGGCTTTTAATACACTTAAACAGAAGAGTGAGAAAAAATTCACCCCCCTCAGAGTTGTCATGAGTGTAAACTAGATAATTTAAACCAAAAACATGTTTTGGTACCAGGCTGTAAACATGTTTATTTCTGCTGTCAAATTGGCATTTTTAACATGGGAGTCAATGAGGATTTGCTCGCTTCTGACACCAGCCCCCAGCGGATGAGGGTGGAACTGCAATTTATGGTACTTCCGGGTTGGGACCAATTTTAGAGCTGCATTGTGGGGGCTTGATCTCACCTCATGTGTCGTGCCTGCATCTTCCTCATGTGTCTCCTGGTGTTCCCCATTTGCCCTCTAGGTTTCCCCCCTCAGACTTCCCTCTCCCAGGTCCTGTGCTCTCTTGGCCCCCTCTTAGCCACGCCCCTGTAGTTTCTTTCTGTAGTGTTTTCCTTTAGTGTCAGATTCCCCTTAGAATATTAGTTATGGTTCATGCCTTCTGGTCTTTAGTTTTTCTCTTAGGTCATTTTCCTTTGTTACAGCCTTTCATTATTTAGTGTTTTTTCCCACCAGTGTTTTCTTCCTCCTCCCTGAGTTAGTAATTGTGTTTACCTGGTCCCTCTCCCCACACACCTACAATTCATCTCCCTCTCATCTTCCCAGTCTATATAAGCCCTGTCTTGTCTCTGTGTGGTTGTTGGTCCATTGTATTTCTGTCAGCGTTTGTTCGTGCTCTGTTTGAGCTTTTGTCTCCAGGTCTTTGTGCTCTTAGTGAGCTTTTGGTCTACAGGTTTTTGGTGCTCTAAGAGAGCTTTGGGTGTCCTGTTCTCCAGGACTTTTGGACTTTTGGCCCACTGCCATTTTGGATTGATTTTTGTTCTTCCTAAATAGAAGGATTTTTACTTTTACCAACTTCTGCCTCGAGTCATCCTGGGTAATCTGCATATTTGGGTCCTATACATCCCCGCAACGTGACAAGAACTAGTAAAGAGGCTCCTCACACACATTTATTACCATAGTGACCTGGATGTAAGACAAGTTTTTTTTTCATTGTAAATAATTTTAAAATGTGGGGTCGTCTTATAATCGGGGTCTAACCCTTACACGCCCGTAACAGCGGAGGGCACCAGGCTGTGTGTTCTCATCAGGAGAAAAAAATGGAGATGAGAGGTCCGGAGCAGAGTGAACTGAAAGTGGGGCGAGTTAACAAGCCATAAGGCAGAGTTATGCAAGTTTTAAGATGACAGCGGTCAGTTCAGCAGAGGCGTCAAACACTGCATTCATGGATGCTTTGGATGGCAGTGAGGATGACGTCCTGGGAGGAGTCGGCAGGTGTAGCGATCTGATGGTACACCGGGACTCGAGTACAGAGGGCGCCTGAATAAAAGCCTCATTGATAACACTTTACAATAAGGTACGCAGAATTGTGTTTCGTTACTAGGGAACAACTTAGGGGGTAATGAGTAATGCAGCAGGGGAGAATAGGTCATTTTAGAGTGTTTTTAAATGTTGATTTCAAAGTTTATAAATGTAAAAGTTAATTTTGGTGTACTTTTCTTATCATTTAAAAAAGTACCCTAAACATAGAACATTTTGTTAGTGATTGATTTGAGCCAGGTAACACTGTAACCTGCAGGATTTTGGTCGCCCATCTCTGGAATATCACCACACACAAGATGAAAGAAGATAATGTGTAAATGAGCTCAGTGTATTTATGGTAAATGGCCATGTAACATCATATAAGTAATTCTATCTTTTAGTTCTTTTTAAAACACAGAAAGGTTTTATTTACCTGCAACGTTTTGTTTGCGGCTGCAAACTTCGTCAGGCTGACGCTGATGGTGGCGTTACTTCCTTCTCCGTTTATCCGCGGGCAACAGAGGACATTGTCGCCCTCTGCTGCCCGCTCTCCCATCTCCGAAGATGCAGTCCCATGCGCGATCCAACGAGTAAACTCCATTGTCTCTGTTCATGGTCCCACATCCACGTCTCCTTATCTCTATAGCTTCCTTTATCAATCTTGTATTTCTGTTGTTCGGTGTTTATGATCCTTGTGTTGTCCCAGTCCACTACATGGTTTTCTCTTGTTCTGTTATGGCTGACTTCTTTATTGTGCTTTCTGCATCTTGTTTTGCTGCTCTTGTGTGTCTTTGACTTATTTCTTTCTCGCACTCGTGTGTTGAGTTGGCGTCCGGTTTCTCCTATGTATGTTTTGTTGCAGAGTTTTCATGGGATTTCGTAAACAACTCCACATTTAAGTCCAGCTGATATTTTGTCTTTTGGGTGTACTAGTCTGTTTCTAACTGTTGTGTATGGTTTTGTTGGTGTGTTTATGTTGTGTTTTTTCACTGCTGCTCTTATTTTTTCTGTTATGCCATTGATATATGGTATGGTTATCACTGGTTTTGGTTCTTGTCTTTCTGGGTTTCTGGTTCTTTGCTTTGGTTGTTTGTTGTTTTCCTTTGTTTATTGCCCATGTCGCGTATCCACAGGTCTTTAAAGCGTGTTGTATGTGTTTGTCCTCTTGCTTACGGTCTCTTTCATAAACACCGAACAACAGAAATACAAAAGATGGATAAAAGAAGCTATCGAGATAAGGAGATGTGGATGTGGGACCATGAACATGGACGATGGAGTTTACTCGTTGGATTGCGCATGGGACTGCATCGTCATCCAGAGATGATAAATGGAGAAGGAAGTAATGCCACAAACAAAACATTGCAGGTAAATAAAACCTTTCTGTGTTTTAAAAAGAAATAAAGTTAAAGTTAAAGTCCCATTAGTTGTCACACACACAGGCAGGGCCAGATTAACACTTTGTTGTACCCTGGGCAACAATATTCAAGGGCCCCATCATCACGACCCAAGGATCACCACAATATGGTCACATACAGAACATTTTACTGTAATATGCAGTAAATATACTCAATACTTGAATGACTGACATCACATAATCTGCTCAGGGTAACCTTTGACCCACCTCGTGTGGACTGACCAATGAGGAGAGGGTCTTAACTTGAGGCCCTCTCTTCATTGGTCAGTCTGCATGAGACTGACTCTCAACTGACGTTCAGTCATAGGCAGCGAAGCGTCTCTGTGCAGCGCAAAAGCCCAGGTGGACAGTTTGTTTAATATAGGGTGACCATATTTCCATTTCCAAACAAGAGGACAGGGGATCTGTGCCTATGACGTCACACTATGGCAACGCCACACAAACCACGTTGGGACCCATTTTTTTGTAAGAACTAAATTAATATCAGATTCTGCCAATAAAAGGGCTCTAAAACAATTCATATGTAAATATTTAGCATATTTATTGCAAAATCTCATTTTTCTGCTTTAGTGCTGCAACAAGGTTTTATTAATAAGGAATTATTATACCTTTTGTTTTACTACACCATCGGTAAGCTTCCTGTGCACAGATTATAAAGGATGCTTGTTTCAGCTGTGAGATTAGACGATAGGATCAATGATAAAATAAGTTGTCACACACTCCATGGAAACTTTCAGAGAATCCACAAATAGCGGCTTTCAAATGGTTTTGTTACTTTTTGCAAGTTTA